CTTTCTTCCCATTTTATAATTTCTATATATATATATATATATATGAACATTAACGTTTATGTAAAAATTATCATATTTCCCTCCAACTTGACTGAATGGATCATGGTACATATAACAATTAAGTCATTAACAAAATTTTAGTCATATTTTTGATGAATTTCTGTTCTTATTTAGGCAACTATTTTCCTAGTTTTTGGCTACTATTTTCATGCTTAGGCTACTAAAAGCAACTATTTTGTTCATTTTTTTCTGTGGCAACCCTGTAGGTATGATAAAGAATGATATAAAATCGTATTTTGTCTTTATCATAGTTTTCTTCATTGTAAGAAGTTTTAACACAAATTTCTGAAATTTTAATATCTCTGTTTCTGCACATGGCTTGCAAATTTATCTTCTAGAAGACAAAGGAAGAAACAAAATTTGGAAAACTAGAAATTTTTTTTTTTAATCAGACAAATCAATTTCGTCATTTTTTCCATACTGTTAATTCTAAGGAAGGATTTTTTTTTCCATTTCTGCTGTTTTTATTATAACACAGCATTTTAACGTAACATGTCATACTATTAATTTATTATCACTCTTTCCCTATACTGTAATATAAATACCCAGTAACATAGAAAGCTGATTTTCAGTGTTAAAGTTTTGTTTTAGGAACTAAGAACAATTTGTTTTGATATTTGTACACATGGCAATGTGAAAATTTAAATTGAGATTTTCAATATAAGATTTTCCTTTAAAAAATGAAGAATGTGTTTTGTTTCCATCTAGTTTTTTTCTTCTTTTTTTAAAAAAAAAAAAAATAAAATTGCCGTTTTTATTATAACGCGAACATTTTTAAAGAGCATTTCTGTTGACTTAATTCTTTTTTATTGACTTTTTCTGGTAATTGAAAAACTGAGATGTTCAGCTTTAAAATTTTCTTTCGAAAATTAAGATGGATTTTTATTTTCTCTGTCTCGCTTTTGTATATAATCTTTAGTACTTATAATAGCGCGGCATTTTCAAAAGCGTTCTTGATAAGCCTTATTTTTCTCATTGATTTATGAATCCGTTTTTCCAGAAAATACTATTCTTAGCGTTGAAAGTTTGGTTTCAATGCTAAGTTTTGGTTTCAGCAATTTTTTTAATTGTGTTTAGAAGCTCTCGCGGGTAGCACTTCAGTAGTCGGCTGGCCGCATTTGATCCGCTGGCAGTTGGTTGCGCACCCCTAATATTAGTATATATTTTTTAAGGAAAGTTTATAATTTTTGTATAAAGTTTCATAAATGTGAAGCACATGAATTAAAAAATAAGTTCAACTACTGTAATGATTAAAGGAATAATTCTAAGAGACTGAAAGGAAAAGATATACTTGAAATTCTTAAAACTCCACTTTATCTTTCATAATCACCATGTGACTGAATAGAAGTATCTTTTTTTTTCAATACCATATAAAGAAGGATAGTCCGCGGTCTTATAACACACTGCTGCATGCAATAAAACCCAACATTCATCCTGATTATGCAAAATGACTTCCTGAATCAAAATATGACCCCACTTCCCCCTCCCCTGTCATTTTATAGGAAACTCCCCTTATGTTTCTTTCTTTTAGATTATTTTATTCCCATTGATTTTATTTAGAGGGAGGATTTCCATCTTAATTGTTTGAAAATTAATAAAAATGATAATTTTTCTGGTTTTATTGTAGTTTGTTGACTTTCTACATGACATCAGGGTTCTTCAAGGTAGCCAACCAAGCCAACTTTATGAGTTTTTTTCAGATTGGGCTCACAAGATAAAACCCGAGTAGTTTTCTTTCTTCCCATTTTATAATTTCTAATTAGTTTTCTTTGCAATTATCAAACCAAATTGTTCTTAAAATTATCAACTTAATACTTTTTGTTTTGTAACTTTTAATTTAACTTAGTACCTTTTTTGCAAAAATATGTTAAGTAAAACATATTATAATAGTCTGATTTTGGCAAACAAAATTTAATATTGTGCTAACTATAATTAGTGCTAACTATAAATAAGGTTACAAAGTCGGACACAAAAACATACTTTCTCTGAATAAACGTATATTTCTTTTTATATATTTGGATTCTTAACCTTCAACATATAGGTGGTAGCTGGAAAATATGGTCGCCATAGTTTGATCAGGAGAGTGATCTAAAGTTCGGACTCCTTAATGTTAATTAATGATGTTCCTTAATGTATTAATCTTTTGAGTAAATTTTTTATTTACCAGTGCGCAAGAGTTTCACAGAACTATTTTACCAACTATTTAATTAAATTTTAACATTTCTCAAAATCTTATTCTTTACGTTACTAAATACATTATTTTTCATTATTCACTTATCAATTTGTTTAGTATTTTAATTTAGGTTTTCCTTTAAAGTAAAATTCCTTTTTAAATTATTGTCAAGTTTTTATTAAAATAAAACTTAGAACTATTGCCTGCTGGTTGAGAATTAAATCTTAAGAAATTAAAAACATTCTGCTGTTTAAAATTATTCAATGTAAAACAGCTGACTATAACTATTCTTTCAAAAAGTGAAGATAAATTATTGATTTGTTTTATTGATTCTTGTGACTTCAACGTAGATTATCGAAAATAGTGCTGATGCTTTATGCAGAGCTGATTGTGCTCCGAAAAAAATCCGGATTTCTGGATTTTTCGCTAACTGGGATCCGGAAGTTTCCGGAGATCGAAGGTTCAGATGTTTCAAAAAAACATTGATCACAAAAGTTTCCGGAACTTAAAAACCACAGTTTATTTTATTTGTTTGTAAGGGAGAGCCAGATACTTTATAAGCTTTATATTCAAGATTAATATTAATTTTTTATCAGTATATAGTTATTATAATCATAAACTCAAGAAAGACATATTTGTAAATTTCAGTTACTTCTCCAGGTTATCATAGGTATGTGTAAATGGTATAAGTATGTGTAAAATTTTAAATATATTTTAAGTAAACTAAGACAGATTGAGAAAAAGGAAAAAAAAACATTGTATAAATATTTTTCCATTTAAACTTTTTTTTTCAAGAAATTTTCCGGAATTTTGACTTGGGCTCGCAATCACCCCTGTTTATGTGTCCCTTCAAGGAGTATAAAGATACTGAACATAAAGCGCTCTCAAATACATACCCAAACTTTTTAAGCTTCTTAAAATATCTCAGTATCTTATATGTTGTCCTAACATTTTAATTCTTAAATTAAATTTTTAATTACCTGGCCTTGTATGATTCACAAACCTTGTAACTACCTCGGAATTTTGTGAAGGATATCTGGAAATTCGCAAGTTTAAAATCTATTTGGCATCTTGGCGATTGTAGCTGGTGAGACAGATCACGATGCCAAAATATCCCCTAAATCATCACATCATGTTTATTGCAACATTTGCAAATGCGATTTTTCGAGCTCTCTTGGAGGTCGAAATGACTGTTTACGGCACAGGGAGGGATCACACCTATCGAATAAATTGTGCCACTTCCTCCTCCAGTAAAAGCATAAAAGATATGTTTTCAAGTTCTATGAAAGAAAACCAAAATGTTATAAAAGCAGAGACTCTCTTTGTGAATTTTTTAATTCGGCACTATTTACCATTATCTGTTGCCGACCACAGAGGTCCATATATTTAAACGGATGTTCCTGGAATCGGTTATTGCCAACAAATTAAATTGTGCTAGGAAATAAACCACTGAAATTTGCTAAGGTTTAGCAGATACAACGCAAAACAACTTATATGCCATGAACCAGAAAGTTTACATGGACACGGCAATTGACGGACAGCAGCAATTTGTCTGGTGAAAAACTTTTTCCTCTTGTAGTAACCTTTGATGATACTAGTGGTAAAATTAAGACATGTTAAAGTATTTTTCCTGTTTTTTTTTTCAATACTCCATAGTTTTTAATTTATCTGTTATTTATTTTTGGGCCGGCTTTATAAGTATGAAGAATATTAATTATTTCAGAATTTAGCTGAGGAGTTAACAGCTTCTGAATGCGTGAATGCTACTATTGAAGAAGATGTTTTCCGATTAGAAGCTGAGTTGGAATCTCTGACAATGAGTGGTAATTTTGTATTAGTTATTTTTTGAACTTATTTTTCAATTTACCTAATTTCTCAGGTGTAAGTTGTCTTAGAATATATGACGCCCCAGAAAAATGTAACTGGAAACAAGTGTTTCATAGCATACTCCACACTCTATAAGTACAGTAGAGAACCAATTATTCGGGCTGCTCGGGACCATCGCTATCCCGGATATCTGAATTTCCCGGTTTTTTGGATCGACCAAAAAGTGTCATTAATCAATGTTTTATCGAACCCGAATTTAAAAAAAAGAAAGTTTAACACATTTTAAAGTAAGAGGAAAAAGAGAAGCAATCCTATATTTAAAAAGAAAAAAAATGGTGGAAAAATAACATTTAAGAGAATAAAAAAATTTGCAAGTTTAGACAAGAAAAAACAAGTTTAAAAAATACAAAATTCTCATATTTATTTTTAAAAAATAACTACAATTCCTAAATTAACTAATATAAACAAAACCAATGATTAAATAATGCAATATACCAAATTACCTAATTATACGGGGGAACGATAAAATAAAAGGAAAATTTATTAATCTTAATAAAAACATCACTTAAAAATTATCTAGCCGAAAAAGGCACTGGCATAAATATTAAAACCCGAAACAAGGCAAGATCAATAAGATCAATGGAATTTTTTAAAAAAAAAAACCTAATGATAAAATTTATGAATAAAAAGAACTAATTTATTGAGTGCCAAATTTATTGTGAAAAGAAAAGAAAAAATCAAATGTAGAAAATCAGAAAAACAAAACATAAAATAATCGCATGTTTAAATTAATAGGCAATGCTCCTTTTATTATTTTTTTTTATAAAAACATGATTTTTAATTAAAGCAGATGTGATTCCACATCAAGAAAAACTTGCAAATGATACCGCACTTCCAAAGAATCAGAATTTATTCAAAAGAAAGAGATTTTATTTTTTGAATTAAAGTATTTTGTTTCAAAGTATTGCAGACTTAATGCTTTTTTTTTTCAAATTGCCAATTAAAATAAACTATATGATATGATGCTGTAGAATAGGGGTGCACAACCTTTTTGAGTGAAGGGCCACATGTGCAGCAGATTGACCAATAAAGGGCCGCATGCCAAAGTGAACATCCAAAGTATTTAGACAGACGTATTCACTGCAATTTTAAGTAGTATTTGTTATAAAAACATTGTTCTAGCCACTAGATTCTTTTTCTAAGTTAACCTTGTAATATCTTGGCATAAAATTAAATACTTTTAAATGTTTAAAGTTAGAAACTTCTAAACTGATTACTTAAGAAAAAAACAAAAATCAGAATCAATTAATCAGAAATAATTAAAAAACTATGGGAAAATTCATGTTTTTTTTAAATCATATTACATAATACAAAAGTTCATTTAACAGGGATGAGATTCTTCCGCGGATTCGCGGATTTCCGCTTTTTTTCAGATTTTTCCATTTTTCCCGCTAATTTCCGCTGAAATTTTTTTTGCCCAAGTTAAAATGTTTTATGAGGAATTTAATTTTCCGCGGAGGGAAATTGTTGAAGTCCCTTTTCCTCCCTCTGAAGTTTCTCTAAAAATCATTTCCTTGGGATAAAACTGGTTGACCTTTATACAGGGATGAGATTTTTTTTGTCTCTTGAATTCCAGCCTTTTTATCAAAAACTCAGATTCTCTAAAAGTTTCGTTTTTTTTANAAAAATATTCTAGTTATTAAAATAAATGCAAGTTAAATACTTTGATTTAAAGAAAGTTTATAGGGTTAAAAATAATTAAAATTGAAACAAAACGCCTTATAAATAAGATTGCGGAAAATAAGATTTTGCATTTAGTAGGAAATATACTTAAACTTTAAAACATTTATTTTAAATTAATTATATGAGGCAGGGGCAGAGAGAGGGAAGAAAAAGAAAGAAAGCATTAATTTTGAAGGAACTATTTTCCTTAATAATAAAAAACTATTAAGGTACTTGTTTACAATTTTTTATGACTAATATTTTTATAACATGACACTTACTATTTACAATTAATACACATATGCATAAACAATTAGTAACATTTACATTACATTACGAAACTCATTTTGATTACATTTTTTACAGTTAAAATTTAATGATATACAAATTATTTCCCAGTATATAATCATGAATGATATGAAATGGTCGAAGTATATAGAAAATGGTTAATATTTTTTAATAGTTATTCTGTAATTTGCAAATTTTTTAAATATTTTGATAATTTTATTTACTTGATCATGTGATAGCTTTTTTGAGCCATTGAATGAAAATGTGATGATTTTGCTTGAAAATTTAATGATTTTGTTTGGCAATTTTGAACAGACCAAATTTATTCTGGAATTTATTCTATTGTTGTGGGTAGTATTAAATTAGGGCAAATAACTTAATGACTTTTGAAATTTGTCCTAGACGGTGTTCTTCATTTCCAGATTTTTATATCACGTGAATGCAAATAGCGATGTGTTATTTTTTACTTGCTTAAATACGAATTGCTATGTGTGATTTTTAAATTGCGTAAATAAAAAACGCAATGTGTGATTTTCAAATCACGTGAATACGAATTGCGATGTATGATTTTAAATTGCGAAAAGACTACTCAAAGTAAGACTTCTTAATATGTGTGAATATGAATCGCGATGTTTGATTTTTGAGAAGAGTAACAACGTGTGATAATTTAAACACCAAAATACGAATCGCCTGACGTAATTTTGAATCTTGTGAATTTGAGTCGCGATGGATGATTTTTAAATCTCGTTATTACAAAACTCGTTAATACGAAATGCGATGCGCAATTTTAAGATCACGTAAATACGAATTATGATGCGTGAATTGTAAATTACGAGACAAATTAAAACGTATGATTTTTAAAACGCGTAAATGCGACCTGTGATTTTTAAATCTTGTAAGAACAAAAAGAATAGGTTGGGTGTGTGATGTTGAACTTGCGAATGGGACTAAAGAAATATGCATGTGTTTTGAATTATATTTTAGCAAAATGGAACGCGTTTAATATAAATGTACACAATTTGTTTTTATTCTTATTCTCTTCCGGAAGGGATCGATTTTGCTAAGATACGTAATTACTATTTAAGTTTAAAAAAAAAAAATTTAAAACAGTATCGAATTTTAAGAGTTGTAATGATGTGCTAAAATATCAGGATATTCTAAATCACAAGTAAAAATGTAGCAATAACTGGAAAGAAAAAAAAACATGTTCGAAAAACCTCTTATATTTATGTAAAAATCGACCAGGGGTCTGTTTAGAAGAAATTTGGGTCCGTTAACGGACCCTTCACAAAATATTTTAACTTAAAAATGGACCTTTCACAAAATGATTTGTCTTTTAACCCCTTCCTTCTCGCTCCCGTGAAAATGATGGGGTGAGTTTTCGCCCACTATTTCTCGCTCCCGTGATATTGAGGGGCTGGAGTGTCCAGTAGTAATACGCCAATAAGAACAAAACTAATTTCATTTGACCGGAAAACATTTTATTTCTCATTTTACATACCTGATGGCAGTACCAGGATATTTTTAAGGTAAATGTAGATAGTTAGTTTATTTTAATCTAGTTGCAGCACTAATCAAATACGTAATACAAATACAAAAGCAAAAATATAGGCACTTTTATGACCATTTTCTTGAAAATTGACCGATCGTTAATGGGCTAATCGGACCCTTCACAAATTTGTTTATCTTCATTGTTTTGTTAATTGAATAAACCCTTCCCAAGGGAAAAAAAATAAAGATCGATGTAAACGAATTAAGTTTTTTCTTCGGCAGATGCTTCTTCCATTATTCGTCCGAAATGAATATTCTGCGTTCAGCAGTATAGGCTAAATACCAAATATTTGTCTGTTGCATCTCTAATTTAGAAGCAGCAATTGCTGTTTATTTTTGAAAATTTAATTTTTTTTAATTATAATTTTATAGTGTTGAGCATTATCTTGTATCTATTTGCAATTTAAAAGCTCCTTGAAAAAGGTTTTTTGCAATAAGGACCCTATTTGCACGAATTCATAAAAGCAGGACCCTGGTTGAAAGAATGTGACTTAATGCTTATTTTATATTCACAAATTACGAGTAATTTTTTCACAATTTTACAAAAACGGACCTTCTACAAAATATGTGGCAGACCCCTGTCGGCACAAATACAGCATGTAAGAAGTAATTATTTTAATGCACTGTTCAAAACTCGTGTGCTGTCAAATTATAGTATTAAAAATATCAGTTTTTTTTTAAATCACAGGTAAAAGCGTAGTAATAACTACCAAAGAAATTATCAAAATCCCTTTATATTTACAGTGAAATTGGCGTAAATAAAACGCGTCAAAATTTTATGTATTTAATTGCGAAATTCTAAATTTAAGTATTGCAATACCATATAAAAATATCGGGACTTTCAAAGCCTTGAAGAAATGTATAACAATAATTGCCAAAATAACGATTGAAAAAAATTTTATTTGTGATAAAATTGGTACAAATAAACCACGTCAAAAAATGGTTATCTAAATGAGCGATTATTTAATCGCGATTTGTAATAATATGGTGATAAAATATCCAAATTTTAAAAACCATGCGGAAATGCGTAGCAATAACTGCCGAAAAATTATCTAAAGTCAATTAGATTTTTCATGAAGTTTGCACAAATAAAGCGTTTCCTAACTTTCAAAAATTGCGATTTCAGAAAGTGCGTAAAAATGGGCAGCAATAACTACCGGAAAGTAGTTGGATTTACGATGAAATCGGCGCACTTGAAGTGCGTCAAAGGTAATAACTAAAATTAGAAATTCGTATATCGTAATAATTATGTATTTAAAATATTGGAATATTCAAAACTATGCATAAATCTATAGAGGTAACCATCGGAAAAAAAGAGATTGAAAACTACATTGTTTGAAATTGGGTGCGTCAAAAAACTTAAATGCATAAATTTCAAATTTCCGATTTATTTTGTTTTTCAAAAAAAAAATATTTGAATTATTTTCCCCCCCAT